ACGTCCTGATCCTTGAGGGAGGCTGGTGGGCTTTCTGACCAGGTCTCCTGTAACTCTCCTGAACCCAGTGGCAATAAACCCGAGGGCCAGGGCAGCGTGAGAGAGCAGGGTCAGTCATTTGACCTGCGACTGTGACTGTTTCCCCGAGCCCTCCTGCAAAGTCCATGGAGAATGTGTCCCCAAAGATGTCGTAGGATGCAGGGCCCCAGACGCTTGCTGCAGGAGCGGGAGCTGTCAGCAGGGGGTGCAGCGGCAACACGATGGAAGGCGTGTGTGTCAGGGTCTTAGAGCCAGGGTGAGCAATGAATCCGCTTTTGCACTTCCCAAAGCAACAGCCGACGTTGCCCACGGCAGGCTCCAGGAGAAGCTGCTTCCTCGCACCTGGGAGGGACACTCATTTGGCTGGTGCTCATTCGTTCTGCCCTCTTTCAGTGGCCCGGTGACGCAGGCAGCACCCCCAGGCTGCAGTGTGAGTGGTGCTTAATCAGTGCCTGTGCTGGATCCAAACGCAAAAATGGTGGAGCCCCCAGACCAGCTCCCATCTGGCTGGGCAAGCCTCCTTTCAGGACCCAGCAACTCTGCTGCTCCTGGGCCTGGCCCCGTGAGCTGTCAAGGGCCCTCAGCTCCCATGACATTAGTAGGAGGTTAGGACCCTCGGCCCTTCTCAGGATTGGCCCCTCAATCAGCAGAAACCCAGCCCTTGTATGGACTCACCTAGAGACGCCTGGTCATCCTCTGGAGATTGCAGTCTGGATGTACAGTGCTAGTCGAGGCGAGGCTGGTCGAGGTCGGCCCGACACCCCAGCTGGGATTTCTGGGTGTAAGTGGTACCCTGTGTCCCCTCTTTCACCAGTAGAACTTACAAATGGAAGGGGCCTCCCAGACCATCGAATCCGTCCCCCGGCAGCGCAGGGAGGGCAAGATTCTAGAAGCACCGTCTAGAGTAGCTCCAGCGAAGGGAGCGAGAGCGATGGAGAGGGAGAGATTATTTTTATTTAGTGCGTTCCTGTAAAGCTGGAATGTTACGGCGCATCCCAGGCCAGTCAGAGTATATAGAGAGATATAAAGAGAGAGAGATATACATAGTAAAAATCACTAATGACATAGTTTTAAATCCAGATGCTATTTATCTTTAGAGCCATTGTCTGTCGCCCTTTCATTGCACAAGAATTAGCTTTTGTCCCAGTTCCATTGCAGGGTTTCTTCATGGCTTCTGACCAAAAAATACTCCTCCTCTTCCCCCTGCGTCCTGCAGAGACAGGCCCTTCGGCGGCTCCCTTAGGGACAGGACCTTCCGCGGCGCTGACTCCACTCAGCCGAGGGCAGAGGCCGCCTAGTCGTTCCCAGTCTAGTTGCCGCAGGATCAGTCAGGAAGGCGAAAGTGGAACGTTAGAGTCCCCCAGCAGCGAGGTGCTGGCAGTTCATTGCTGGGCGCTGGTCTAAGAGCCATCTCTACCAAGCAGCGGGTTGAGTCTCCGCTGGTCCCCAGGCGGGGTTAACTGTCAAGGCTCAGTGCCCGTCGGGTTGTTTCTGGCACTGAATTCTCCCCTCTGGCTGGTTCACTGCACAAGTTCCACACCTCGCCCAGGGCCAGATCCTGCCCCTGGGAACCTGAGTGCCTCTCCCTGGGTCTTCCTGACAGAGCAGCTGGTAGGCTCCTCACTTGCCTTGGAAGCGGCTGAGGAGGTGCTGTTGGGTGGAAGCCTCCAGGACCCAGTGCCTGCTGTCTCTGCTCTTGAAGCCCGTCGGAGATGCGCTAGTGTAGCAAGAGCATCACTGGGCCCGTGCAGGATTCTGATCTTGGCGAATCCAGAGAGATCTCCCCTACATAGAGATCAGAAGCTGGCCCTTGAGTCTCCAGCCAGGGCTGGGAGCCCCTTCTCCCCGGGGGCTACACCTTCCCACAGGTACCAAAACCTAGGGGAACGTGGCTCTTTCAAGGGACATTGTCAGGGTGTTTTGGCCAAAAACGCAGGCTGTGTTACAGAAATGGTCTGACCACCAGGCAGCAGTGGGGAAGGGTTCATGAAATCTGCCTTGTCAACATTCAAAATGGGATTGACATTTTCCCTGCTCCCCAAATTGCCCAGGGCTATTGCCTGAGAACCAGGAAGTGAAACCGACTGGTCTAGCGGCACAGCCCGGGCTGAGCAAATAAGCTTAGGTGCTGCTAGGAAGCCAGGGAAGGGAATTTAACCTGACAGTGTCCCTTTAAATAGGGGAAGGGGCAAATTCATCCCTACGGGGAATCCCTTGACGCCCGAGATGAGTTTGGCCCCACGTGTGGCAGGGGAGCAGAGCACTGCTGGGGCCACGTGGAATAAGCAGACGCAGATTAGTCCTGAATTCCCAGGCAACGTGTCTCTAGGACTCGGTCAGCATCCATACGGCCACCAGCGCCAAAGGAAGTGACTGGCGCGTAGCTGTTTGCTACAGAGCGGTCGGACCATCTCCTTGCCCCCCTGCTGGAGTGGGCCACGTGTGGGGAGCCCCGGTTGTGTGGGGAGCCCTGGTTGTGTGCTTGCTGCCCGCAAATCTCTGCGGAACTTGTCGATTGATTCGCTTTAGCATTATCAATTTGCATGTGCCCAGGTGGGAACCCATCAGGCCTTTCCCAGCAGTAGCCGGAGGTTTTCCCAAAGTAGGGACAGGAATCACAGTCTGAATAGGCTTGTCCTGTTGAACCAAATTCTAGTTCATTTACCCGAGCGCAAGTCCATCCGCGTCAGTGGTTTTTACTCCAGATTTACACCGGCATGAGATCAGGGGGCTGGATCCTGACCCCACTGAAGCCAGTGGGAATCGCACCCTTGACTTCAGTGGGAGTAAGACCAGACATTAATGCTGGAAGTACTGGCCTGAATCCCGGTGCACGGGGAATGGGATTTGACACGGAGTCTCTTTCCATCGGCTCCACCTTTTCTCAGTTAAAGACAGAAGTTGTACAGAGATTTTTTAACTATCCAGAAGCTCTTTTGATCTCATTAGAAGCTCCGGAGCCGATTCTCCCCCTTCTTCTTTTTTTTATTTTTAGATGGAACTGGCCTTTCTCCAGCGTTGTATGTTTCAGATGTTCTGACATTGTTCTTCTTGTCGTCATAAACTCTTTTTTTCCCCTCGATTTTATATATCAATTTTTTTAGACTTGAGTTTTTATTTATTATTAAAAAGACAAAAAAAGAACAAACCAAACCACTCATGGCCACAGCAAGGAGGGAGCCAGACATTACGGGAGACAAAGGCGACTGCTCAGGAAGGCGTTTGGGGCTGGAGGTGCATTCTCCATCAATGGGCGACAAAGATTCCCCCCCCACCCCCCGGGTCTGTTCCAAACGAAAAAAAACCCTAAAGTGAAACTTGCTTTTAACCACTCAGTGACTAACCACTAATGTGCCCCAGCACATGTGACCCCAACTGTCTGCTCCCGCACCCAGGGGGGACTCTCCAGGTGGGCCTGTGCCCGTCCTGCTGTCCAGGGCTTCAGCCTGGCATCTCTCACCAGCACTAAATCCCGCAGGCAAAGCAGAACTCAGACAGTCCAGGAACTGGGCCCAATTCTCACCTCCACCTGCACAGCTCTGCTGACCCCCGCCCCCGGGTTTACACCTGCGTGAGCTCACAGGCTCACACTACAGCCAGAACAAACCAGGCCAGCCCTTGTGGGCCAGCCCCTAGCATATAGTATATCCAGCCAAAGGGCTGGATTCTGGGTTAACACAGGTGTCAATCTGGGGCGAGTCCACTGAACTCGATGGGCCCGATCCTGCATTGATGCCAGCCCAAATCAAGAGCAACTCCATCCCGGTGAGTGGCAGGGAAGTGCGCGTGGAGTCACTCGGAGCTAGACCATTGGGACCGAGATCAAGATCTGGCTCAGTGCCTGGCATCCTTCCTCAGCTGGTGATGTTGGTTCTTTGGCCAGTCGCCCGAGCCAGCCCCAGCACACGGAGTCACCATGTTACCCCAATGGGTTCCCTAGCCAGGAATTCTGCTGTGCCTGGGGTCGCTGCTGGATGCAGGTTTTGTCTCTTTTTCGTTCCTTTCAAGTGTCAAGGTGAATTTGAAAGTCTGATTCCTCCCCCCCCCGCCCCAACTCCCCAATGTTTTCCTTGGACAATCATCTCAGGCACTGGGCAGGCTGCAAGCAACGCACCCGAAGGGAAACAGACGAGACGCAGCTCTCTCTGTCATCCGCATTCACGGTGGAGATGGACGTTTATAAGACATGCTGAGTAATCTTTGACCTTTAATGCCACGGGCCTTGAAGGCGATTAGGGGGGCAACCTACTGTGTAACGTTGTCTGACTAACTCTGTAATTATGAAGCATGGACATGTAGCGGCGACTCCATGTTGTGTGAATAAAGCTACATATGGACAGTCCCCTGCGCTGCATGTCCTGTGTGTTGGTAGCTGCTTCTGTTTCCTGCATGTCTAAAGGGTTCCTTCTCCCCCCTGGACACACACAGAGCTCCCATTAGCAGGGGGGTAACATCACAACCTCCCCTGCACAGCTCGTGAGCCGGGTTTGAACACCAGGACTTCAAGAACAAAGGACCCTGCCACTCAAACTAAAGAAGGAACTCCATTAGCTGGTAGCAATAGCAGGCTGTTATCCTCTAGCTGATCAGCTACTAGAGTGAGACATGATACACACGCTCTGCCCGTGGGTTCCAATAACCTAAGGAGTCTGCAATGCGTTACATTTCCTGAACAAGACCAAAGCAAATGGAGCCTGAGTCTCTGTCCTTAGTACCAGGGTCTCTCCATCAACTTCAGGGGAACCTCTCCTGATTCACACCATTGTGAGATGAGAATTGCATCTTTCACCCACCACTGAAATGCCGCCTCCTCTGGGGTAGAAAGCAGCAGCTGTTTAACATCACACAGTGACACTACACAACAGGGACAGGAGAAAATTAGGGCGGTGGAATGGGATTAGCTGAGTTGGGACCCAGCCAGGATACTTTGGGTTGCACCCTGACTCCCGGGGATCTTCACTGATTCCAAGTGCTCGGGGCCTCGGTTTTACCTGTGGTTTGGAAGACGAGACCTCTCCTTCTGGAGCTTTGGGTCAGATGGGGCAATTGGCAAAGCGCCAAGCTGGCATCGAGTGCAAAGCCAGGATCCCTTACACCGCTGGGATGGGATGGGGGGCACTGACCAGCCCGTGTGGCAGCAGGTGCATGTGCCCGGGAAGTCACTGGGAGTTTCTCTGCCCCAGGGGTGGGAGGATGGGGATGGGCTTGAGGTGTCGGTTCCGTTCACTCACATCCCCTCTAGCCTCGATATGCCTCTCTCCATTGGCCACCATGGGGCTACCCCTGCATCACACTGGGAGATCAGCATCTGGTCCTGTCTGAGCTCCGGGTCCCCCAGGGTTAGCACAGAGCAAAGGTCCTAGCCAGGGCAGGGTGGTGATACTTCAGCCCAGTTCTCTCTCCGAGTGCTGCCCGCTGGAGGACGTGAGCATGGCCACAGCCTCCCAAAGACACAACGGGGCCCGGGCCCTGCCTGCCACACCTGTGTCCATCAGGAGCAACCTCTGCAGGCAGTGAAATTTGGCAGCATCCAGCCAGGCTGAAGGCTCTGACTGTCACACACCAACGGTTCTTGGTCAAAACTTCCGCTCTCGGCTTCTGAAGCTGGAAGTCAGAATCCAGGAGCCCCAGGGCCACGCATCTGACTCCAGACACCTGGGGCCAGGGACTGACTGTGTCCTTGGCTTTGTCTCTAATGCCCCCGCGACACTATGCAGAGAATAAATAAATACACACTCTGCCCCTGATACACTGGTGGTCAGCTGGGGGAGAACCTGGAGAGCTCCCCGGGGTCACCCCAGTCTTAGGAGTTCAGTGCTTTTTAGTAGGGTTCAGTTACACAATAGATGGTCACCAGGGTCGGCTCCAGGTTTTTTGCTGCCCCCAAGCAAAAAAAAAAGCTGGAGTGTCTCCGCCAAAGCAAAAAAAAAAGGGGCCGGAGTGCCGCCCCTTGAAAAGTGCCGCCCCGAGCACATGCTTGGGATGCTGGTGCCTGGAGCCGGCCCTGATGGTCACCAAACACCCCAGGTGTGCACTCCCCACCAGCTGGCCTGCTAGCCCCTCCCCCTCAGGCATGTGTCTCCCCTCCGCACCCCCAACAGGTCTGCCAAGTGTCCCTGGAACAAGCAGCATCAGGCTGTGTTTGATTTCAACCCTTCGCTAAGTCTCTTGGGATTGTAGCATGAGTCTCATGATATTTGGTGGTTTGCTTAAAGCCCCAGTTCCTGGAGTCCTGGGATTGGGTGGAAATGTCAGCTTTCGTGTGTGACATGGAAGGAGGTTGTAACTTCCAGGGGCCTGACGGAGGAAGGGAGCCAGGGGGAGTTGGTTTCTGCCCCTCACGGTTGCAGAGAAGACTTTGAAAATGTGACCCCTAAAGACTCCAACATCCAGACGCCAAGAAACGGCCCCAGCCGGATGATTTTTTAAAATCTGATTTTTAAAACAACTCTCAATATTGGGGGGCGGGGGGCTGACCTTGGAGCTGGGAGTTGGTGACACTAGCTTGGCAATATCTGGGGCATGTCCTACAGCCTCAGCGCCTGCTGTCAGGTGAGTCTGGGGACCTCCCAGCTTGTATTTGTTAAAAGAGCCATTTTCTAGCCCTTCTGGTAACGGGAAAGTTTCAAAACATGACCTCAGCGACCCCTAACGACTCAGAAACCAGGAGGCAAAAAAAAAAATCCCCAAATAGATCTACATATTTTTCAAAAGCTCATTGACTGTGGGGGGAGGGGAGGGGAGGGGCTGGGCTGGGGGAATGTTACTCTATATGGGACCGTGGGCCGAGCTCACTGCACCAAGGGCACATTGGACAGCAAGGCTGGAGTTACAGGGCATGATCAAAACTAGCCAGGAGCAGCCAGTCTGGGCCCTAGCGGGCACCACGCTGCCCAGCCAAGCAGGGGCCTGGGGGCTGCTGTGGCTCCCATAACGCTGCCTTCATCACCCGAGCAGACGGAGTTTGGCTTCACGGGGATCCCCGAAGGCCAAAGTTACTCTCCTCAATCAATACTGGACTAGCTGTCGGAGCACACAGGCACTGTGGCTCAGCAGAGGGGCACCGCCTCCTGTAGGTGAGACCAGGGACTTGCACCCCCTCTGATCAGAGGTGGCAGAAATTGTAAACGCTGGAGATGAAAAAGGCCTGTTAGGGCCTACATCTGGTCTATTGCCTGGGGATCAGGCCAGGCCTGGTCCCAAAAGGGAATTCTCCAGGATAGCGCATCCACTGCTCCCTTTAGGAGGCATCTCCACTGCCCAACGCAGCTCCCTGCTGGGAAAGGTTCCTTGAATTTCCCAATTCCAGGCCAGGCCAGCACAGCGCCCAGGGTTAAACAATCAGAGCCGCAGGCTGCCGACACCCCTTCTCTCCCTAGGGGTGGGGCCAGCCTTTTTCCTCATCGTCAGCTGAGCCTCCCGGCCTGGTTCGGAGCTGTGCTGAGCAACTGTACCGCAAGCAGCGGGAGCTGGGGACACACTCAGCAGCTTGGACTATCCGGCCACAAGTGTCTGGGGCCGGGCACCCGACACCGGAGGCCCCCAACATTAGGGGAGCCCTTTGGAAATTGAACGGAGTATTGCAAGCGTGGCCACAGCTGAGCCGTACAGAGAGACTCTGCCCTCGCTGCTCGGAGACGGGAGGCCTCTGCACATGCCACCTCGTGTCACACCGGCCTTTCTTGCGCCCATAGCCCATTGCAAACTCCGGCCTCTGTCTCCCTGCCCCGCTGTCTCGCTCAGTCCTTCCTGCCAGTCGGGATCAGAGTTTCAGGTTCTTTTCCCCGCAGATGGGATGAGCTTGAATGTGCCTGGGCTGGTTTTTATTTCTAGCGCCCCTCTGGGTGAAATGTCCCTGCCTGGCGGGTGCAGAAAACCCCATCAACCATAGTCCTGTTCCTGCGCTTGGGTTAGGCACAGCAGTCTGGCGACGTGGGAATTCACCCATGAAAGCTCATGCTCCAATACATCTGTTAGTCTATAAGGTGCCACAGGACCCTCTGTTGCTTTTCACAGTCACCTTGCAGCCCCGGGAGATCAGTCCATCGAGGACGGGGCAAGCTGAGCCTTTGAAAGGATTTGGAAGCTGTAGGGACGCAGTGTGATCTACCAACCTGTTTCTACACCCAGCACATGGGAGATTACTGCCCTGCTGGGGTGATTTCATCTTTCCTGGGTCTCCATCCCTATGGGCGTTTCATTCACATAGTGGCTTCTCGTGAAGGATCCTGCAAACACCCGCTAATCTAAGCCAATAGCAGGCTGTCCCCTGGAGCTGGGGTGGGTGGCAGCCCCTTCCAGGCCTGCTGGGCCTGGGATTACACGGAGCCCCTGCCCGCTCACTCAGCTCCCCTGCGTTACCTTAACACACTGCTTATTCCTGCTCCGGAGTCCCGACGCGCCTCGGGGCGCTGGAACGGGAGTGCCAGCTAATGCCCAGCAGGCTGCCAACGAGGGTCGGCCACTCACACACACCTTTCAAAGCAAGGGAGGGGGCTGCTTGGGCGGAAGGTTGTGGCCTGGTGCTTAAGGGCCTGGCCTGCCCCTCAGGAGCGCTGGATTCAGTTCATAGCTCTGCTCCAGGCTTTGTTCGTGACCTTGGGGTATGTAGGCCCCAGAATAAGTGGCTACGTTTCAAGAGAACCCTGCATGCTGGCAAATCTAGCCTGCCTTTAGGTCCCTCAATGGGAGCTGCGCACTTCAAGTTGCGGGCGCTGAGTGTTGGGAGATCTGGGCCTCATCTGCCATGGCCACGGCCACCCCTTCCTTCCTCTCACCCACCTTGACTGTCTTGCCTTGGAAATGCTTCAGGGCAGGGACTGTGTCTGGCCAGCACCAGACACAACAGGGCTGCCATGTCAGAGCCTCTAGGCACTACTGGGATACAACTAATAGCAGCTAAGGGCTCCTTCTCTTAGCTCCTACCCGGCACATTCACCACCCGTCACTGCCAGACTCTGCCCCCTGCATCCCCGGTGGACCCACCCCACCACCTTCCTCCACATCACACTTCAGGGTAACGTCCCCCTGGCTCAGGTGGGACCCGCTGGGCTTGGTGCGTGGGGGCTACAGGGGGACTGTGCTGGCTAGATTGGGAGCTGGGTTCGCAAGGGGGGGAATACAGGGGTGGGGGTCAGGCTGGGTGGAGTGGGAGCTTACAGGGAGGCAGGCAGGATGAAGAAGGGGTGTATATGGAGCAGGACACAGAGTGGGGCAGGGGCCAGAGTTGGGGCACATGTGGGGGTGGCAGGTCGAGGAGGATGTTAATTGGGGGAGGGCGATGGGGGGGCAGGCTGGCCAGTGCTGGCGGGGAGGAGCTGTGCTGGGG